AAAATATGAATAGCCAAGGCCAAAGTGGCTGTGCCCTCCTAAATCCTTATGTCTAGCCCTGCACGAGCCCTATAAAATGAACAAAATAAAATTACCTTATGCCACGGCACCAACCCATTTAATGCAGCGATGTCCTCGTCTGGAGGTGGCCGTGCTGGTCACAATCCTCTTCCTCCCCGTTGGTGACAGTGCGATACCATCCAGGCTAATCGGGTAGGTCAGCCCTCCCGACTGATCCGATCCGACACGAGCTCATGCACTCACTCGTGAACGCACAGTAATACCGTTGTCTTAATGTATCGACAACAAACTCCTCCTAAAAGTGTTCTTCAGCAGCCAGTATTGACCATACACAACCTAAAGTACACTTTCCATTCCAATATTTTCCCACGTTACAAAATGGCAGGATCTCCACCACAAAAAACCCTCTTTTTTTTCCGCTTCTCCTTTTCCCCGCCCCCACTTAACTGTGACAGGGCCAACAGACAGACATCAAACTAAACAACCAATGATAAATATGACACCAAATCATAACACCAAATGAACATCCGTATAGGCTTCACAACCCGTCCCCACAAACTAGTTGTCTACTTAATATTCTTAAAAAGACATTGCGATTTAAACACCTATAAACATTCATCACATTTATAGAAGACAAACATATTATTTATCTGGGTTACACTAGCATAGCATTTCTCTCTGTAACATGGCTTCAACATGGCTTCCCGTAGCACAATAGGTAACCTGAATTCCAAAAAAATACTCCGATTGGTTTTTTCCTAACGTGGTCATTACCTCAGTTTTCCTCATTTATACAGCAGTCATGAGTTAACAGCAAAATTAGGAATGAGAACGTAATTAGATATACATCCTTTTCATGCTATGCCTTTACAACATGTAATTTAAAACCATGCTAGCTAGTGTCGCACATGGCAAACAGCAAATGAACTTACCGGAGAAAAGAAAATATCCCTGTTCAATTTTCTATCTGCTTAATGCTTATAAAAACAAGAAATAATTCGCTATTAACTCTCTGAGCTATTTATCAACCTTCTTCATATTAACTGCATCTCCAGTGCACTAATGCTCCGCCACTCAGGTCTTTTTTTCCTTCTTCCCCGTTTGCTCGTAATTGCAAAAAAAAACTTCTTCCCTCAGCACGACACACTGGCAGCTACCGGACAGGAAGATTTGAACAACCTAAAAGCAACATAGGATTCGGGTACAAAACTAAAATGAGTTAACCCCTTTCTTTTTTTACAGCCTGCTTTGAGTGGGTTACATAGAGCACAGCTTTTAATCTTCTACAATGCCAGTAGCAGCACCCCTAACGTCTCCATAATTTCCCAGCCACCACTACCCCCAGCACGGACCCTATTATTGTTCCCCACACAGCTCCCGTCGGCCCCAGCACTGCCCCTATTACTCCTCCCCCAACAGCTCCCATCGGCCCAGGTACTGCCCCTTCGAGTACCCTTACAGCTAGGCCTTTATTCACTACTGCTGCATTATCCACAGCCTGAGCGGCAAATCTGAGTTCATGAATGATCATTTCAGCCTCTTCTCCGTCAGCCCTGACACTCTTCAGATACTGGTCTCTCTCTCCCTCTCCAGCTCCTCTCCCTGGATGCAGTGCAGCTTACGTTGCAATTTATCTATCTTTTTCGCTCCATCCGTCTCAATAACTGGCTGCTCTTTTCTAATGCTATCTTCTGTCTCCTCGTAATTGTTATCAGTAAAGTATCTGTCCACATTCTTAGTCACCAAACTCTCAATTCTCTCCAGCAAAGGTTTAGCTTCCATAGAATTCTTCTTAAACAGATGATACTGGTGTCCACACTTGTCCATAATCTCTCTGAGGTTTCTATCTTTTTGGAGTCTATCCTCCAAGCTTGTATCTTCCTCCTTACCCTCATGGCACAGAAGAAGAATTGTGTACTTTAAGATGTCGTCACCAAAGTACTTGGTAAGTTCTTCCACAATACGAACATCAGTTGCTGAGATGTCCTCCAAGTCCAGGATTAAAAGGACAGCATGGGGTCCAGGGCAAGACAGACACACGCATCCCTCCAGCTCCTTCCTGATATGTTGCTGTGTAAGGTCCTTCTCAAAGAAGTTTGGTGTGTTGATAACTGATACTCTTCTGCCCTCTATCTCCTCGTAATTCTCAAAACTCTGTGAAAGGCTGCATTCAGCTGGCATGAACACCTGCCGTCCCAGGATACAGCTTGAGACGATGGTCTGTAAGTGACTTCTGCTGCTAAACAGCACGATCCTCAAGTCCGCAGACACTGTGGAATAACAAAAATGTTACTTTAATAATGCCAATCAAACCACTTCTCTTCGTGAGGGGGCTGTAAGACATGCTTTAGATATAAAACAAATGAAAAAGCTACTCTGAGAAATTGACGGCAGCAGTATTTACAAATAAAAGTGTCCTGTGGCAAGAATTTCACTGATAGTCTGAACACGTGACAATGAAAACCTTGAAGAGTGAATACGTATGAAACACAGCAATATTGTCTTCTTATGAGCTATGCTAATGAGGGGCTAATGAGTTGTCCATTTTGCATTATGGGCAAACTTAGAAAAAGTCAATAAATTCCAATCGAATCAGACATGCTTAAATACATGATGCTTAAATACATGGTGCTTAAATACATATCTTGTTGATTTTTTTACTGGTCGAAATCGACCCACCTGCATTGTAAATGCTAAGAACAAAAGTACGGAGGAAGGTATTTTGACAGTATTTAAAAGAGCAATGCTATTCCAGCTTTCTCTTGATAAAAAATGCTGAGGGGGGGTTGAACAAAAATTATGCAGTATATGGTTTTACTGCAATACCTCCCAAGTAGGGATGCTCATTTAGATTAATTTTCCAAACCGACAACCGCCGTTCGTTATCCGAACATTAACCGTTAACTGATTAGATTAGAATATTAAATTAGAATTGAATGAAAATAGAACTGAGGAGTGTCTGATTAACCCTCTGGGGTCGGCGGT